TTTGTATTAAAGGAAATGACTCCTGTCTATATAGGAAAGGAAAGGAAAATCCAAGAACGTGGTAATGGTGATAGCCTCTGTAGTAGAGGTAGGCTGAGGCACAGGGATAGGAGGAAACCTTACTGGTCCTACACATCTTTACTTTTAATAAGATTGTATTCTTACCATGGACATTAATTTTTTTACTTAAGAAGTATGTCATAGTTGACAGTTTTACAAGTCTATATATCTGAGGCCAACAGGAAATGAAGCCCCCCATAAATGTTACAGCAAAATGATAAGTATTCAATAACTATTTATTTAGCAATCCTATAAACTTGGCTTAGCCATATGTAATCCCTTCTTTGGATGTTCATGAAACTTTGTGATGATACCTATACTTTCTGCTGGAAGAGATATATATTGCTTTGATATATATGGGAGGAAACAGAGTAGTGTGGATTTCTAACAGAATATAAGGCCTTCATAAATTCAACAAGCCCTCTACATGTTTTGTATGTCAGGAAAAGGAGGTATGTGCCCAAGATACTTTGAATCTGCGTACAAGGTTGAAATATGACCTCATTGTTTTTTTAAAAAATAAAAACTCTCTGCCAGTAGACTCTACCCATCCTTAACTGGCTAACTTGTTCAGTGTTTTCCTGGCTTCATCAAACAACAATATCCTATTTTTAAGAAAACCAATTATTTGAATATCTGGATTTACAAAAAAATTTTTTTGTAGGAGTATCCACTCACTGTAATTAAGGATTCCTTTCAATACGAAAATAATAAACTTTTAAAACACTATTCAATGCAAAAAATTATGCAGAAATTTCACAAACACCATCATTGAACACACAGGTACTCAGTAATTACTTGCTGGTTGGATGAACATACCTATTGAAAATCAGTAGAGTGAAATGGACAAAAACGTGGGTTGGGATCCAGTTATCCCTGTGTTTGGATTCTCTCTCTGCCGCTCCTTAGTGGAGTATGACCTTCAACAAGTGACTTAACCTCTCAAGGCGTCAGTATTTCTCATAGAGATAAAGTGAATGAGGAATGCCTCTCCTGGAGTCAGTTTTATTAAATCAAAGGTATCAGTAAATAAAATATTGGTACACTTTATCAGGTATTATATTTTATCATGTACTATAATATCAGATATTATTTTATTTACCTAATTTCTGCTTGCCTAAATGGATGCAAGTGAATGGCAAAAACAAAACACAAGTGTTATATTTTCAGAGATATAATATAGGTAACTATGCGTGAATATAATTACATATTTCATTTCTTTATCTGTATTTATGGCACCTGAACAGTGGCTAACACATGATAAATGTTTGGTAAATGGTGGTTAGTATTATGTAAAATAACACAAAATACTCTGAGGGCTTGACTCTCCATTTTCATATCCACAAAGACCAATTTGTACACAACACTCCAGGATATTTTATTGCACTGATACAGGGAAGGGTGAAAGATTTTGTGTAACTGAGATTTTTTTATGTCCTTAAAATTATGGAGAAACAATTAACAGGTATATAAGTAAATTGTGACAGCTTGTAACAATTCCTAACATCTACTGAGTGGGTGATGATTAGTCATTCTGCAGAGTAAATATTGTGACTTAAAATCCTCTCCAAGTTCATTTACCTGCCTCCTACTTTCTTAATTAAAAATACTAAAGGTAAGTGCTTTATTTAATTTCCCAGACTAGAATAGAATATCTGGTGTTTGGAGCAGGAAAGGGAAAAACGATACAAATTGCTTCCAATTCAGAGACTAAATGAATGTGTCCCCTCAGGTGACCAAAGGTTTCTTCTTTTTTCTATTTTCTGACTTTTTTTCTTCCTTTTCCTTCTGGCACTTTGAGTTTGTTTAATAAAGTTTAGAATTCTCACAAAGGGTCTTATAAACACGTGTTATGAGATTTTAAATCTGATTTGAAAGTGCCTCTCTCCTACTCCCTCCGAGTAAAGTGACCTTTTTAAATGGAGGGAAGTGGGTTTAGATGACAGTCATGATAAATGCGGTCATGTTCACTCAATAAAATAAGGCCCAGTGCATTTGAGGATAAATCAGTGAAATGTACAGCCCCACCTGTCTGTCTCCATCATTCATTTCCACTGTCACTTTCACAGTGGCTGATGGATCACAGTTGCTGTAAAATTAGACAGCCTTTAATCTCATTTCATCCTGATTAGCTTCTCTTTACCCTTTCCCTCTAACTCACTGACTGACACGCTAAAAACTCACACTGGGCTGTATATGAACATGAGTACAAACTTCTCCTCCAATCCTGTTTGCGAGGGCGAGGCCGGTGTCCACCTCTCGAGAAAGCTGGAAAGGGTCAGGCGTGTATTCTCTGTTATTTAAAAGGTAATCAATATGTACAGTACCCGGTGCCCTTTTAAACAGATGTTTGCTCATGCTCACTGCTCTATTTATTTTGCTTTCCTTCAGGTTTAATCCGAAGTCAAATGAGGTCTTTTGCAAAACTCAAACATTGATTTAATATAGATTTTTTCTAACAAATTTGGAACGTTCCACATTCAGAATAATTTCAAAGAGTTATTTGTGTGTACTTATAGCCTCGTGATTCATGGTAATAATTTAGAAAAGACAATAATTCAGGAATGAGAATACTAAAATACTCAGCCAAGAAATATAGCATACAAGGTTTAAAAATAAGAGTAAAAAATGAGGATGCCTTCAATAGCCTTTACATTGGGACTTAAAAGACCTCTCTTATTTGAGGGTTCCAATAGTTAGTTTAGTGCAATAGTTTCATTTGTTTGCATAAAGCATAACAATAGGGTTAATCAAATGAGAAAGAGGCTTAAGAATAAATCATGTATTATTTCCTTCACTTAATTTCTGCTTGCCTGAGTGGGAGCAAATAAATGGCAAGAACACAGCACGTGTGTTGTTATATTTTCAGAGATTGTGCTTTATTATCAAGCTGGACTTCTGGTTAAAAAGATGATAATGCAGTTTTTCATTTTTATAAGGTTTGGGCATTGTACTGACCAAAAATTTAAATATTGAAAGAGTGGCAGTCATACACTCATTGGTTATAGTCAATGGCCTCTATTCTCCTCCTCACATCTCATGTGAATAGTTGCGTGCAGATGGTAATCCATGCTGTGAGTTTACACTGCCCAGCTGACATGATGATGAACTGGAGTGGCACCAGGATGTTCACAATATACACAATATACATCATACATGAGCAGCAGACTTTTGTATTTGCTGTTTGGGAACCAGCATCATAATCCAAACAATGATGTTTAATTTAAAAAAAAAGGTGTTCAAAGCATATTCCATCTTAGTTGGTCGGTGAACTCAACATATATTCTGCCCCAGTGGATCCTGAGAAACTGTATGGTATCTCTGCAGGGCTATGTGGTGAAAAGCATTTTCCAAAGAGATAACTGAGGATTGAGGGGCAAACGGGCATCCCCAAGATGATTCCTTGTCAATGACCTAATAAACGGACCACACAAATCCAGGGCACATCCAATTTCTACATTATCACAGAAATCAGGGTTTTCCATACCAACGCCTCTGGCATTACAGATATGTTTAAAAATGATGAGTACGCACAGTAAAAAGTAACTCATAAAATAGCCCAAACTCCTAAAATCTTTTAGTAAGAAGCTTCAGGGATCTGATTCGCTCTTTCTGAAGCTATGCTATAGACTTCAAAGCTGTCCTGTGCCTGTCCCTTGTTAATTTTATTTACATATCTCAGCCAGCGTAAGTGCATTCTGAGAAAAAGAAAAGATGATAAACACAGAATGAAATGAGAGAGATATATCATCCCAAATAAGTTGGGTCTAAGATAGGCTCTGTCTCTTTCAGCATTGGCAGAAGAGCACAGAGGAAGAGCTGGCCCTGACTCATATTGATTTCCCACTGCACTGGTTTCTTAAGTGCTCTGTTGATCCGTGTCAAGCAATAAGTTCTCTGCCTGAACATGCACATCACCTCCCCATTTGTCCTCACCTAGATTTAAGGTGCCCATATGATGAGCTGAACAAGGACATCATTTTTCCTACTGGTGTCACTGGGTCCAAACCACGGCATGTGAGATGATAACTAATTCTGTGCGAGTTTACCTTTGCCATATGATATTATAATAGCAGACACCAACACCGCACAGCACATGGGGTGACAGGGCTGTCCTATTCTCACTGTGTGTGTCTCCCAAAAGAAAATATAAATGAAAACAAACAAATACAGAGAAACTGGGCTTTGGTGGGTTTCTGAATAACACCCCCTGCTCACAGCAACCACATTGGGGCAGGGAGAAGGGCGAGACTGGGGGAATGGATATTTGTGATGTTCCTGACAGTTTTTATCTTTGTTACAGAAGAGCTCCTAAGCAGATAGATAGAAAATGTGTGATTGTGCTGCTAATGACATTGTACAGGAAATTAAGCGTATACATTTGGAGAAGGCATTAAATCAGCAGGACCTTAATTTAAAAACTTAAAACTGTATGGAAATTCAGCTTGCTCATTGCTGTGGAATAGAAAGCTACCAAGCACCCTGAGTCTGTTTATGGAAAGACTGCCAGCAAACCAAGTTTGGGCAGAGCATCTTAATGGCTCCAAGTGTGTGCAGGGTTATTTCTTCCAAGAAGTAACCCCCAGTCCTGACCATTTGGGAGTATCAGTCATTGGTTTGGAATGCTATCCCCATCATCAGGCAGGTGAGGAGAACTTAAGACTCGAAAGCCACATTGACAGGTTGTTCTTGACTAATTTGTGGAATAACATTATGTAAAATTAATCAAAAGGGGTTGGGTTTGAAACTGCTGTGAACACACGGCTGAACCACTGTAGATCGGCGGGTGCCCCGCTCTGCTGCTGCTGCTCCCTTCTTCCTTCTGAGTTACTCTCACATTTTACAGCCGTTGGTGGCAGCAAATAACTAGGGAGCCAAGGTCTCGAGTCCTAAGATGGAGAATTTCATGCATCTTTTCTTTTCTTCCCCCTCAATTCCAGTTATGCCGTACAACAGTGCCCACCACTGCGTTGTGGAGGTAGAAAACTTCTTGTTTGTGCTGGGTGGAGAGGACCAATGGAACCCCAATGGTAACTATTGAACTGCTCAATAGTAGATGCTCAACGAGCATGTGTGTCGTGGAAGGCACTGGTAGCAGCCGGTTTTGTGATTACTGTGGAAAATAGACTTCTGTGCGCAGGGACACATGAAACAGTCGGTAAATTGGGCTGACGATTGGAGGGAGGGTCAACCATTGAGCTGGCAGAGGACGCACGCAGTGGAGCATTCGCTCATGGACTGTCTGGGGATTTGGCTTCGCAGTGGCGCCCCAGCCCCTCTCCTTATCCATCCCCTGAGGAACATCACAGGCATAAGCACAGACTCCCCAGAGGCAGGTAGCAAGCTGCAGCTATTAAGAATTCTCCCCACCTTCTCCACCACTTTCCTCCTATTTTATCAGTGTAATAATGCAGTTTCAATAGATAAGTGTCATCTGCAGTCAGAACTGAAGTGAACTTCACAGCTGAAGTTCTTTTGCAGCATTTCCTACTTGAGACCCATTCTAGTTGGGGATCCTTTTGAAGATTATCCACCATCCTCCCTGTGGGTGTGGTTACTTCATAAATTCATTGCAAACAGAAACTGAACATGTTAACACCGCTCCCCAGCCAGCCCAGGGAGAACACCGTGCCTTGCCGAATACGCAAAATTATCAAGATATTTTTGGAACGCTTGCCCACAAAGGAGGGGTTGCAGTTGTAGCCTTCTGTGTAACAGAGAAAATTATGACTGAGAAACCATAAAACAGCTTGCAGGTACACATTTTTGCTTTAAAACCCCAGAACATCCAAGTGAAATTACACATACTGCATATATTTTATTGTGAATGCTCTCTTTCAGCATCTGCACCAAGGCAAATTATAGAAAATTGTTACATCTGTTCACTCTAGAAAATCTTAAAGGAAAACAACCCAGGCCAACCTCCAAGAACATTTCTTTGAAGAGAGCAGGACATTCTTTCTTTCCCAAAACCTGCAGCCTTGTTGGGTCCTATCCAAAGAAGACCACTCCTGCCTGGGCCATGTGAGAAACGGGTTTAGAACAGCAGCAAAAATGAGATTTAATATCTCTCCTCTAAATTATCTTTGCAATGACAGACTTGACATGTTCCCCACTCTGAAATCACCACTAGCGTATGTACAATCCACTGTAACTGCCCGCTTACTATTTAACCTGTTCTCCCTCCAAAGTGCTTTGAACTGAATAGAGAGTTTGGAAGTCAACAGTGCACAGCCATCTAAGCAAAGGTTTATCTAAGCAAAGAATCTACAGAACATTGTTTTTGAAGGCCAGATTAAAACGAACACATGACAAGAGAAGGCTGCGAAGTCCTCTTTCTGGTGACAATGCTCTCTTAGCCCATCCCTCTTCCCACATGGGGTAGGCCTCTTTTAAAATACCAGTCTTGGGTGACTGTGTGGCTCAGTCTATTAAGCATCTGACTTTGGCTCAGGTTGCAATCTAATGGTTCTTGAATTCAAGTCCCACATCAAGTGAGCATGAGCCCTGCTTCAGGCAAACACGAGCCCCACCTCTCTTTTTCTCTCTCTGCCCCTCACTCACTTGCTCCCTCTCTTTCTCTCTCTGTCTCTCAAAAAAATAAAATAATAAAATAAAATAAAATTTTAAAAAAAGTACCAGTCTTGGTGCAAACATTTAGTTTTCACAAAACACTATGAACCTCCCATTCTGCTAAGACAGAGTTTTTCAGCAAACAGAAAACGTTCTTCCCAGATTCTGCCCCCTTCTCCTCAAAATAACCTACAACTGCTTACTGATCAACTCCTATCAAACACAACTAAGAGACTGGGTGGGGCGATAAGGAAGAGCAGCATGGCCACATTCCTTCCTCTAGGCTGGAGAGTCAAGGTGTTATCTCTGAACTAATTCAGAGTCCCACAAAACTGTGCCACTGGACCTCACTCACTTGCCTCCCCCCAGGCCTGAGAGGAACAGGAATTCATTTTGCAGCCCTCAATGAGTATGCTGTGACAAAATACTGTAGAAGGTGCAGTATTGCAGTTACTGCAGGGACACCTGTCACTCACCACTCGGCGTGCCCCATGAGGAGACCCATGTGACAAATTCTTGCCAGAGCGTAATACTGGGTCATTGTGTACTTTTGAAAATCACCACTTACGCTCCTCTTTTGCTTTAGCCACTAGGAGGCTCAGAATTGAATTTTAGTAAAACTTTAATTACTATATTTTAATTTTACATTTATTCTCAATGTAGGCCTAGCAGCTAACTCTTTGTCTGTAAGACCCCTTTTTAGAGCTGTGGGAGTCCTACCTGCAAAGCTGAGTCATTCTATCCCTGCCATGTTTGGAATGTGAAGCCATTTGTATAGATCTGGGAAAATGCTGATGAACCATTTGGCTCTCCGAAGTAGAGGAGAATAGGTCACAGCAGGAGTCAAGCAGGCCAGTCTTCTGTACCCCTAGGTCAATCATTCAGTCATTGGCTGAGGCCTTCCCCCGGGTCAGGGAGGATGGCAGGCAGGGACATGGCCTGTACATATGAGAGCAAATCTCCAGAGAGGGAACAAATGTGACAATGAGCAACCTGGATGACAGGGGCACCAGTCTGGTAGAGGGATCTGGGCTAGGTACCAAAACACACATCTACTACAATCTTTTGCACATTTTCCAGGTAGCTTCCTATTCCAACCATCTGGTCAACCATAGCTGACCTTTTTTTTTTTTTTTTTTTTTTTACTATTAACAGTAGTTGAGTACTAATTATTTCCCAGGAATTTGATAAGCACTCACCTGCATCATTTTACTGAATCTTCACAACCGTCCTGAGAGGTCTGTTCCATGATTGTTTTAGTTTTACCATGAGGAGTCTAAGCTTGAATAGAGGAAATAACTGGCCAGCACATACAGTTTGCATGAAGATGGGCTGATTCCAACGTATGTCTGTCTGACTCCAGAGCCATAGTCTTTAACCATTGTATGACAATTCCCCCTCACACAAGCATATGGATTTTGTTTGATATTAAATAACAATCGTGTTTTTGCCTTTGATCTTTTGGAATAAAGTTAGTATTGTGTCACAGTAGAAAGGGCCCTTATTCTCAAAGAATCTTCATCACTTCTGATTTAGAAAACCATGAAGGGACTCAATCATCTAAAAAATATGGGATTTTCATACTAGACTACATTATGCAATTAAAAAGTAAGCAATTAATACCAAAATTTATACAGAATAACAATCCGATGATAATATATAACATGCTTTAATTTCATTGATACCAAGGAGGAAAAATTAAAAATCCATGAATCCAAATGTTGCGGATATGTCAGTTCCAAAGATGAAACATTAAATTAAACTTTAGTTCTTATGAAAATGGTGCCTGAGATGCGTGTCTTTGAATGAAATTCAAAATTGTAATATTTAATGCATGCACATAAAACACGTATGGACTCATAAAATACAAATATAATTTTATTTAACTATTGTCTTGATTATAAAACCAAAATTTGAAATCATAAAACGTATTAGTTACCAGAAATTTAAGCAGGATACATACAGTTTTTTAAGTTTATTTATTTTGAGAGGGGTGGGGTAGGGGCAGAGAGGTGGAGAGAGAGAGGGAATCCCAAGCAGGCTCTGCACTATCAGTGCAGAACTCAAATTCGCAAACCGTGAGATCATGACCTGAGCCGAAATCAACAGTCCAAAGCTTAATGGACTGAGCCACCCAAGTACCCCCATTTTTAAATCAGCTAGAAATATTAACTCCAATTAACTCCCTTCATGTTATTAGTGATAGGAACGCCTTATAATACTCTAATACGTATGGATCTCTCCTGTCACTGGCCCAGCTTACAGAAGACCAATTTACATTTGTCACTTACTCATGATTGACTCCCCAAAACACTGCCTGTAGGGGACTTCCTTTCCTTCCCCCTTCTTCCCTTTCACCACTGTCTGAAAACTGCCACCCATGCTCCATTTTACATATCACCTAAGGGATAGTCAAAAAAAAGCTATCTGGTGGGCATCATCACAAAAAGAGAAGAATTAGGGGAAGAATTAGGAAAAAGTAGAAAAGATGAGAAGAAACTAAAGGAGTGAAGTAACCCCAAATTCCCTTGCATATGGCCACCACACCCAAGCTGCTGGTAGAGTCCCAATAGAAGCCACAAGGAAGGAACTAGTAACTCCTTTTTAAGTCACCTTCCTCACTATACCACACTCATTTCTTCTGAGGTTCATTATCCCCTCTCCACGTCCTTTGCCAACTCCAGAATGCCTTCCTTCTTTTTCCCTCCCCAGTCCTCCCATCCTTATGTCTCTTTCACACCATTGACCTTGCCGCTAGCAATTCTTTGTCATACATACACATCACATCAGTCCTTGCTTAGCCTCTTCTCTGAGTGAAGGCCACTACCAGTACAACCAAAGCAACTATTGCCAATTTCTGCCACCACTGCTCAACATGTGAAGGCACTCTGCCCCATTGCTAAAAGGAGGCAGATGTCTTCCTCTAAATGGAAATTTAAACCAAACTTCATAAAGAAACATTCTTATATATGTAGTGGGTATGCTCTACATTCCTATTAACAGCATTCATCTTCAGATACTTTGAGGAATTAACCTTGAAACCTACTAAGAATTTTTTTTTTCTAGAATGAAGTGATTACAAATTCTACAAAAACTTCTTATAAACCAACTCTAGACATAATCTTTCCTTCAGCTGGAGCCTCTCTCTGTGGAATCCAAATCTTTTGGGTCATTCTCACTCCTGGAACTCTTAACTCTTTCTGTACCCCTCCAAATAAAACTTAATTTACCAATCAATCACACCATCCAGACCCTCTCATAAGATCCTTAGAACTTATGATATCACATCCACAAAATCCTCAGAATCCTTAAACTCTTAATCTTAATCCTTAACGGTCACTTCCGTTCTCTTCTAATAAAAACCTGGCTGTCTTCTAAGAATACTCTTTACCTAGCCACCTGTCTAACAGAGACTGTGTGCCTCCACCACCAACCCCAGAACTTCTTATTATTGGAGGCAGATAGCTTTTCTACTACCTCTTTATCGTCACTCCCATAACCTTAAAGCCCACCATTGTAAAGAATATCTATAGGTCTTATCACCTGCTGCCCTCTTATGTGGCAGCTAGCCACAGTTATCCTGGAAATGATGCCTCCTTCACTCTACTCTACCACTTTTTCACTGTACCTCATGCTCTGATGTCCTTACCTCCCCTCTTACTGGGCTTATATTCTAGTGCCCATTCCCATAATCACATTAGCACTTATACCTCCATCTCTCCTTTCATTATACTTGCCTGATAAAGCCCTGGCCCTGGTTAAGCCCAACTCCCTTCCACCTCCTCTTCCCTCTCCTTGGACAACCTAATGTGGATGTAGAAAACCACAGAGCCACACTGGTTACTAATGAACCATGCCCACTACTAGCCAACTCCACTAAACTTCCCTGGTCAATATACTCTTCTACCACCCAAGGTAACTTTCTCATACTTTCTCTCTCCTCAAATGCCTCTTTCTCCAAAACCTCTCTCCTCACTCTCAACTGATGGCCTTGCCTTTTAGTTCAAAAAGAATAGAAGCAATCCAAAGATAAAATCTTTATCTCGCTACTACCAAATCTGTTCACTTACTGCCATTACTACCCATGTATTTTATCTTCCCTCCTATTACTGTTTCTGCTCTAATCTAAGGCTTATATCTCATTACCTCTTGCCTACTCAAGGACTTTCCAGTATTTCTGGACTTAAAAATACAATCAAACTACCTCCATCAGCCTCCCTGCTGCCAAATGCTTTGCCATTTGGTCACTCTTATTTTTGAAGCATTATTGACATGGCTTCCAAAAATCATACTTTTCCTACTATCTCTGACAATTCCTTTCCTTGCTGGTTTTTCTTGTATTCCAGGGCTCATTCCCAGGACTCATTATTTCCTATGCCTATACCCTCTGCCTAAATGGGTTCAATTTGTGAAATTTATTATGATTTTAAATAATACCTTTAGACTAATGACTTCAAAGTTTGCATCTGCAGCCTCATTGAACCAGTGGCCTACCATATACTTCTACTTTAAGACCCTATGAATCTCTCAAGGTTAAGTCCAAAACAGAACTAATTGTTTCTCTTCCTAATCCTAAAACTGCTCTTGCCTGGTCTTCCATACTTCAGCAAATTTCATGACCTTCCATCTAGTTACTCAAGCTAAACATCTGGCAGCCATCTTTAACTGCTTACTTTTTCTCATACTAATATTCAATCTATCTGAAAATTTTATTGGCTGTGCCCATACATGAGATCCCAACATATTTCAATGCCTCCACCTTCATTCAAGCCTCCATCAGCTCTTGCCTTGACCATTATAATGGCCTCCTGACAGCCCCCTTGCTTTCAGAGTGGCCCTTTTATAGTTATTCTTCACACAACAGCCAGAGTAATCTTTGTGAGAGATAAATTAGGCCATATTCTTCATTTTCTCAAAACCTTCCAGTGACTTCTTACTGTTCTTATAACAGAAGACACAATCCTGCTCCAGTCTACAAAGCACACTGTGTTCTGGATCTTGATATGCCTCTGACTTCTGTCTAAGTCACCCCAGCATTCTTGCTGGATTTGAACTCATGGCCAACTCCTGGGACTTTCTATTCACCAAGCCCACTGTGTGAGGGGCTCATTCTGCATAAAACATCTGAAGGCAGGTAACCATCCTATTTAAACCAGCCTGCCCCTTATCAATCCTTGCTTTATAACATTCATCTCTACTTGAAAATATATAGTTCTTTATTCATTTACAAGAACAGAAACTTTAACTTTTTTGTTCACCAACATATTCTCAAAACCTAGAGCACATAAGACATATAATAAATGCTAAAAATATATTTATGCAATTAACAATTATGTTGGGTATACACAAGCATGTACACACAAGCATGTACACACATACACACTTACCTATTTATTCCTGTGGTGAAGTTTGGTACCTGTATTTCAATGTTTAGTTAAACATATATGAACAAAAACATCTTCAAAGTTAAAACTTCAAGTGTTTTAGATGATTGTCATCGCAGGTGCTACACAGAACATGGAAATTGCTTCCATTTCTTGCTTTGGTGTCAATCTATAGGTAAAATAAGATTCATTTTAATACCTTGGAGACATTGCTGTGCTCCTAGCCTCAACAGAGGGGATAGACCAGTTCACCAGCTTTGAGGACTCATGCTTCCCACTTCAGTACATGTACTCACAACCATGTTTCCCGCAAGCACACACACACAGAACACACGTGATGTGCATGGACTAAACCTGATTTTCTAATGCAAACTCTCACTGAAGTGATTGGTGTTATTTCCATGGGGAGAGGGCTGACTCAACCACTGCTAGGTTCTTGGATCATTAAAAAAATTGGGGGGGGGGCTCTAACCACAGATATCACACAAGTTAGTCACTGGAACTGATTATTTATAGACAATAACTTCATGTTTTCAAAACACAAAAATACCAAAACTCAGAAAATTTCCCCCTAACGTTGTGGTAAAACTGGTTTGGTAAACGTACTTGCTTTTATCATTATGGTTGATTTAGTTTTGTTCAGACCCATTCCAAAAAAATGAAAGAAAGAAAAGATGGAGTAGTAGAGAAGAAAAAAAGAAAAATATTTGAGGTGGCACATTTATTCTTCTGCTGACTTACTGCTTCTCAGACTGGGTTAAATAGTCCCCCTACTTAATTCATGGGTGTGTTAAACCTGAAAACAGATGCATCTTATAAACACTATTAAATGTGCAAAACAACAAAGGGAACTAAGTTTCAAATGTCTCACATATATTTTTATAGGAAAACACAGTACAAATTTTGTCAGTCGATATGATCCTCGATTTAATAGCTGGATACAACTTCCACCCATGCAAGAAAGGTAAGTGTTTATGTCTTATGTCTGAAACATTTGTGGCTGCTTTACAAGCATGAATGCTGAATGGTTTTCTATCATAAATTATGCTAAACAGAGCTAAGGAAAGACATACGAGTCAAAATACAAAATTTGGCCTGGCCAATCAGGAATAACTACTTTGTTAGCTTAATGGGGAAGACTAATCAAATAAGTCAATTATTGGTCCTAATATAGGAAGAGAAAAAATGTGTAACTTGTCTTCCATTACTACATTACTTTGGTTTGTTGGCAAGTGGAGCTAAAATCTCACTATCTATCTCACTTTTCTTGGTGATAATATATTTAAATCCTATAAATGAAATCTAAAACACCATTCTTACAATGGTATGCATTTTGATGCAGAAATTTCAGTCTTAAGTTTTCAAGTCTCACTAACTCAAATCCTTTACATTTGCCCTCTCAACTATCCTCTCATTATACATTCAAGAACAGGTCATTTGTTAGCTTAAGAAACAGAGTTTGAAAAGTATCATCTCATTTTTTTACATATTTGGTGCTTATGTCACCCCAGTCTCCTAGGAGCCAAGGGACAAGTGGCTACCATTGTTTATACATATTTTGCCTCTCGTGGTTGTTACCTACATAAGGCCACACCTTCATATGCATATGCAAATTCCCATGCTAAATTTTGAGCCCTTGATACTTTTCAAATAATACCTCAGCATCCTCGTGAGCAAAGTATCAGTTATAATAACAATAAGCTGCAACCTAGTTCTTCTCAACTGAATTATTTAAGAAATGACTTTCTTTCCTGTTTCCCTCATGACTCTCCACCTTCACATCTTTTATAAGCATTCAATTAGATCGAATTAGATCACTAAGATCAAATTAGATCCTTCATCATAATTCCAAGTTAAAAGGAAGTGTTCAGATAATATCATTTATTCAAAAATGTGCATTTCTGCACAGTATGAATCTATGCTATGAAAAAACTCCCTGTCTAGCTCTCTCTTCCCTATAAACATATTAAAACCCTCTTTCAGGAGACTAAAAGCTACCCACTGGAAAGGATGAGGCATAATGTAAGAACCACAGACACTCCTGAGAATGTGTAGTTCAAAGGTACCTGAAGAAATTATTCTAAGTCAGTTAATACCCAGACAAACTTCTCACTCCTCCTCTTCTGCACACGTGCCTGCATGAAAGCCCCTGATGTCCTTCCCTGGTGCACCTTGTTTCTCTCCGTTTGGGGTTATTTCCCGCCCTCTCTTATTGTGGCTGCATCACTTTACCCTTTAAACAAAACCATTCCGAAAAGTTTTCCTTAAAAAATATATTTTAAAAATGAATATCAATAATCTGTTTGAAATGTCAGCATCTCATCACCACGCTCCCCTTTGCTGGGGGGCTGCACACCATGATAATTAACCTTCACGCCTTCCGTTTGGGAGGCATAACTCACGTCGCGGTCAATTATCTCACTCTAGAGCCCCTAAGGATGAGAAGTATTGCCGCAAAACCTAATTAGTAATTTTTTAAATGTGTATTGTTTACTTGATATTCTATAATGACTTCCTCTGAGGCGGTATGGCCTATCATGGCAGGGTCCTACTTAGACAATTTTTAGCAGCTCATTGACCTGATAAAAAGACCTGCCATGGTCCGTCGGCGCCCGGCAGCCACCGTTGACAGGATGGACTGTTTAACGTTTCTTTCTAAGTCATTATGGTATATCATGTCAGGTCCCTAGTAAAAGAAGTTTTTTTTTAGATTTAGAACAATCAACTCGATAGACCAAATAAAGAGCTCCTTACAGAGCTGAGTGGGAAAAGGCAGATCTCACAAATGCCCAGTCAATCTTCTAGCTCCGTATCTCCTATGGGTTGGTTGACCCTGGCAGCAATCCGTAACCTAAAATGAAATTTTTCTGTTGTTGCCAAGTCTCCATTCTAAGTAGCAAATACGATCAGTTATTGACATGGCTTAATTGGTGAGCACACAAAGAAGAAATAAAGAAAAAAACAGATATGAGATCCCCTTCAGATCTGAAGTTTCTTGAAACATTTACTTGAATTAATTGTACATTGTATAGATCATGAATCAGGCTCACCAGAAGTCCCCCCACCCCCCACCTTCCATTGTTGCTACCAAACTGCTGAGAAGTTACCAAACTGAGAATAATAGAAACCTGTTGAAAACCACGTCTGGGGTAACCCACTCTTAGAGCTGGCTGGACAGGTTCTTTGGATATCTTACCTAGTCAGAGCTTCCAAAGGAGTGCTATAATGAAAGTGCGTGCTACCCTCTAGTTCCTCAGGGAATTGGCACACTGCCTCTAGGCTTACCCAACCAATTCATGAAATGCATCCCTGCTATCTGTGAAATGATTACAGGAAAATAGACACTTAAATGTAATGTTACTGAGTTATTGTGATTTCAGATGTGGGATTCGATTCTTCAGGAGAAAGAAGATGGTAAAAATTGAAACTAAGATCAATAGAAATGCTTTGGTAACTTTACAGTTTTCTTCAATAAAAATAGACATTGTAGTTATGATTCATATGGAAATCTTACCCCCTAGCTAGTCTAGAAAAAAAAAAATGAAAAAGTAAATGGAGTTTAGAAAGCACCACCAACAAAGCTTACGTTTCACAGAGTAAGAGAAGAGCTAGAAGCAAATATATAAAAAGCGTTTCCATATTTAAATAGTTACTAGAAGCCTTAAGAAACAATGTGAGACAATATTCTGTTTGAAAAAAAATCTGTTGTCATTTTTAACCGGATGGCGAGAGTCAAGATTTCAAGCTAAGATTACAGTAATTCAATCTCATGCTCTAGGATATAAACTGACCACCCAAAGGGTCAGAAAGAACTAGGAAAGACCTGTACAATATGTAGGGTTCACAAAGTCTTTGTGGAAGTTGCTGGTGGTCTTTTTTAACTTATCACAATACACTGACTATTATTGCCTCCTGAGTTGGGGGAGGAGGGAGTGGAGGCAGTAGGAGAGATGAACAAACTGAAGTACAAATAGTGTAATCCCATTTAAAATTTTTCAGTAATCTTGGACTTACTTTAAAAAAAAAATAGCCTAATTATGTGTCCTCTTCTTATGAGGAGGAGGGGCAGGGAACACTCCCAAGAGAGACCTGGTATGGTAACATTTTCGCCTGGAGCAATTGTTCATAGTTGCTGACAGACCATTAACTATCCAGTGTTCCTATAATGCATTTCATGAATTCTCACTTTGGACATGCAAGGGAATAAGTCATAGGCTCAGAATCTTCACTATTGGAATTTCTACATAAAAATGCAGTTTTCGTCAGGAAGCGGAACTTACTGATTTTTTTTTCCCATTTAGATCCTAACAGTGACACTGTGTGGATAAAGCTAGGAGTACACATGAAGTATCAGATTAAGAAAATCTTAGCTAGAAAGAGAGCAAGTTCTGACAGGCTCACTCAGTGTCAGTGAGGAAGGAAGGAACCAGGATAGAAAAAAGTGAGAAAATTGAAATTTAGACTAGATGAAAGGAGTTCACACTACTACAAGGAGACTTTGCTCTTATTCTCCATTATCTAAACTTAATTGGTGGAGGGTTTTCATACTTGTCATGTCTAACAGGCATTTGCTCTTATAGGCCAGTATCTGGCATATGGAAGAACAGAACACCTTATGGCCCACATAGTCCAAATTATTTAAAGATGGCCCATTAGTAGGATTGGTATATTAGTTATTTCAGAGGCTCTAAGACTTGTTATAGAATCATCATATGGAAGACGGATTGTGTCGATAGTGCAAAGAAATATCTATGTCACTTTAGTCTATTTTTATAGACATGTCATTCTTTTCAATGAAACATTTTAACTGAGAAGGTAAAAGCACTATTAAGACAACCCTGACCTATCTTATTCAATGAGAAAGCAATTGAAATCTGGTTAGAGAAATAGAAGGAAGCAATGGACATCTGTGGGCACTTAATTTTGCAACTATTTTTAACCTAATTTTATATTTCAATGGGTTTTTACTTCTCTGTAACAGGGGATCTCAGAATTTTTAGATCTGGGATTGATCTGATTGAAAGCTTCTTCTTAATATCTTTCTCCAAAAAATGCCTATGTGCAAAACCTACATATACAACTTTTTATTACTATTTTATTACAATTTCAGAGCTTCATATCCCTCAGAAGATCTGGGTTAAAAAGACTCACTCTATGAAATCTGCCACACCTGCTCTTTATTTTCTTTCCTCCTTTTCTCCCTCCTCTTTTTCCATCATTGCTGTTCTTTATTGTCATTTTGAATTTCCCACAGCACATATTTCTTTCAAAGGCATCAGGAATATACAGGAAAAAGAAAAAAAAATGAACACAGCCAAAATTTTGCTCTAAAATTGTCCGTGATGCTAACAATTTCAGAGCTAATAAAAACAAAAACAAAAAAATCCTTGAACCATATGATCCACCAATCTCACTTCTGGTTTTATGTCAAAAAAAATGAAAATAAAATCAATATCTTGGAAAGGTATCTGCACTCCCATGTTCATTTCACCATTATTCACAAGAGCCAAGATATAGAAACAACCTAAGTGTCTGTCATCAGATGAATAAAGAGAGCATATATGTACAATGGAGTATTATTTAGCCATAACAAAACGAAATCCTGCCATTTGTGACGACATGGATGAAATGGTAGTTTTGTGAAGTGAAATAAGCCAAACAGAGAAAGAGAAAAAGAGAAAGAGAAACACTATATGGGCTCACTTATACATGGAATCTGAAAAAAAAAAAAAAAGAAGAAGAAAGAAAGAAATCAAACTTAAAGAAACAGAATGAATAGCAGTTGCTAGGGACCAGGAAATGAGAGAAATGAGTAGAGGTTGGTCAAAAGGTATAAACTTTCAATAATAAGATGAATAAGTTCTGCATATCTAATGTATAACATGGTGACTCTAGTTAATATTGTGGTGTATACTTGAAATTTGCTAAGAGAATAGAAAACCAAAAACACACACACACAAAAACAAAAAAGTAGCTAGGTGAGGTGATGAATGCATTAGTTAACTTGATTGTGGGAATCCTTCCACAATGTATGTATATGTCAAATCATTGCATTGTGACTTTAAATATATTACAACTTTGTCAATTATACCTCAATAAAACTAGAAAAAAATAAAATAAAACTGAATACATCACCATCTATAACATACTATACCTATAGGTAATAAATCACCTACACAAGCATCAAAGAATTTCACTGTCATTTAAAGTATCACTAGGCAAAGTTTATATGCAAACATCTTAATGGCTGATTTTTAATAACATTTTTATCTGGGTCATGTTAACTGATGGTTCTGACACATGAACAAAATGCTGGACATGATGACAGCACTTTATGTGCGTATTTGCAAACAATCCTCTAAAAAAAAGTACCATTAACATCCCCCTGTTACAGACGAGCAACCTGCGGCTAAGAGGGGTTAAGTGACGTGTCAAAGGTCACACATCCAATAAATCATGGAGCCACACAATCTGTTCCAGAGACCAAACTGTCAATCAAGACGCTGTCTACTGCTTCCTTGAGGTTTTGGCACTTTGTAAACACAACTTGGAAAATCTTCTGCTAAAAACCTCTAGGACTCTTGATCTTGCTACTGACATTGCCCAAGAGTCTTGGCCCTTATTTTTATAAAGATCATACATTTATCAAATATAAAATATATTCTCTGAGGGCTTGGCAGTTAACAATTGTACTTATTCAGTATTGAACCACATCTTCTTCTTGTAAAGTATATTATTCCAGTAGTATCAATGAGAAAAAAAGCAAAGGGTCAAGGACTTGCTTAATATATCAACCTAGTCATCCTAACTCCAAATTTTCGAGTCCCCTTTGAACATTTATTCTCTCAGCTCTCATGTCTTACTAGTTCCCAAGTCTTAGATCTTCCTTTGGAATATCTTTTGCTCAGTCCTTCCATGTCTTCTGTAAAACTCTACTTCAGGTCCTTAATATCTCACTCTTATATATGATCTACCTCAGAATCGGTTTCCCTTTCAAAACAGCTTGTGTCTTTTGCCTTTGAAGCATAATGGGATAATTTAATAAATTGCTTCTCTTGAAAGGATACTTAAAAAATATCCCGTAGCTTTGTGATAATCAACACCAAAAGCTGTATCAGTGAAATTCCTACAATTGGTTTGCATAAAAGTAAAATTCTAGCACCCTACTCAGTTCACAGAAGTTTCTCTATTTGCTGTAGTACTGGGAAGAAAAAAAATGATAATTGAAGAAAAATTTTGATGATGTAGTCCTCTTATAAATTGGGAACAATGACCCTTGAAGGACCATGAAAAAAGTGAATGTCAAGATAATTTATTATTGTTACATTATCTACCTCATTTTTCACTTTGTCTTACTGTGCTGTGATATCTGTACAAGGTACCAAATATCCCAAACATTAGTGAACACTTTAACAGCGTATTAAAAAAAAAAGATAAAAGAAGCTGAAGCAGGGTTGGGTGAATTTCTCCTCTACTGTTACTTTAAGATGAAAATGCCAACCAGACCAGGCAATGTGTACGATTACTGTCTCAGATTTAGAAGGGAGGTATATGTGTAATTTCCAAATTTCTGCAACCCTTTCTAAAGCAGGATGTACCTCCTTTCCCTAACTGATGGAGCCCTTTTTGTGATTTACGGCGAGTTGTTGTTTTCATTGTAGAAGAGCCAGTTTCTATGCATGTCGATTGGACAAGCATTTATACGTTATTGGTGGAAGGAATGAGACCGGCTATTTGTCCAGCGTGGAGAGCTATAACCTAGAAACAAACGAATGGCGTTATGTGTCCTCATTGCCCCAGCCTCTGGCTGCTCACGCGGGAGCAGTGCACAATGGGAAAATATACATTTCAGGCAAGTCATTCCTCCACTTTCTGTTCCAAAGTTCAGTTCCAAGGCACTTTTTTGACTTGTATGTATATGCTTAATTCACAGGGGGTGTACACAATGGAGAATATGTCCCATGGCTATATTGCTATGACCCTGTAATGGATGTCTGGGCTCGAAAACAAGATATGAACACAAAACGCGCGATCCACACTTTGGCTGTAATGAATGATCGCTTGTATGCAATTGGAGGAAATCATTTGAAAGGTCTTTTTCTTTTTCTTTTTTTAAATCACAATATCATTTGCATCTCATGTTTCTTGCTAAAGGGGTTTCTCGTTAGATAATCATAGTTAACCAAGTAAAAAACATGTTGACCAAATAAAATCTACTCTGCGTAAATTAGCTGTACCCTTGGGCACACATTTATTTTGGCTCCTCTGCAGATAGGATTATTTTTAAGTTACTACACACATTAAAGAAATGAATAATGATATCAACAGAAAGTAAAAAACAAAAGCATTAATAACTGAAAGCACAAACAATTTGTTGTAACAATGAATTCAGTAAAATAAATTATTCCCTATCTCCGAAGTCATAGCAATAAATTTTTTCCAGAAAATTGTTTTTTGTAGTGATCATAAAGAACTTCAGTCATAGCTGCACAAAGAAGCTAATACGTGATTTTTCTTAAAGAAAACATTTAGTAGAATTTCATGTCTAAATTTAGAATTATTTCTTTTAAGAGTTGAACATCAAACCTATGCTTCTCAAATTCTTTCTATTTGCTTTTATAATTTAAAAAAGAACACTTAAAACATGGTATTTTTAAGATTTATTTATATCTGAGACAGAGGCAGAGCGAGCATGAGAGGGGAGGAGAGAGAGGGAGACATAGAATCTAAAATGGGCTCCAGGTTCCATGCTGTCAGCACAGAGCCCAATGCGAGGCTTGAACCCACGAACTGTGAGATCACGACCTGAGCCCGGAGTGGGGCGCTTAACTGACTGAGCCACCCAGGCACCCCTAAAACATGGTATTTTTAGAGTTTTGTTTGGGCTCCTCTCCTTCTCCATATATCTATATGATTACAACTGTTTGTTTTTTAGTTTATTTATTTGAGAGAGAGAGAGGGTGCGCGCACATGAGTGGGGGCTGGGCAGAGAGCGAGCAGGAGACACAAAATCCAAAGTAGGCTCCAGGCTCTGAGTTATCAGCACAGAGTCCAACACAGGGCTCAAACTCACGAACTGTAGATCACGACCTGAGCCCATGTCAGATGCTTAACCAAAGGAACCACCCAGGTGCCGCTGACTACAACTTTTTGTAATTTTGTGCATGTGTCTAACTATCTAAATGCATATCACACTGAATTTGACAGGAAAGCAGAGAGAACGGTGATATTAAGATTCCTGAACTGTACTGGACCTCAGTTTCCTCACCTAAAAATGAAGAAACTGGTCTAGATGATCTCTAAAATCTCCTCCAGCTCTGATCTGCCATGATTCTTGAAACTGAACCAAATGTGAAACAAGCCATCCAAGTATGATAGAGAAGGCCCTCGACGCATCTAGCTTTCCATCATACACCCATCTAAAAAAATGGTAGATGTAGACATTCCTTTCTGGTTCTCAAATACGTATATACCTCTAACATAAGAAAGACCACACAGGTGCAATTTTTATGTAAATATTTCCAAGTTCATATTCAATCAGAAATGTCAATATCCTAATATATGTTGCTCACCTTTGTATTCTCCCCAGTGAGAGGGGATGGATTAACCTTTGCGGCTGCAACTCTTCCCTTTTTATTCTTTTTCTCTTTCACTGCTACTCCTTCATCTCGAGCCATACAGCATTCCTGCTCATCAAAATATTTGTATGCAGTATTAATTTTGTAGTTTTCTTTATTAAAGTGTGATTTCTACTCATTTCTTTTGCATAATAGTGACTAAACATTCTAGGAACTTTTTTTAAATGTTTAGTTTTGAGAGAGTGAGAGAGAATATGAGTGGAGGAGGGGTAGAGAGAGAGGGAGACAGAGAATCCCAAGCAGGCTCCACACCTTCAGAGCAGAGCTCAACACAGGGCTTAACCCCATGAACCATGAAACTATGACCTGAGCTGAAATCAAGAGTCAGATGCTCATAAAACTGAGCCACCCAGGTGCCCCACATTCTAGGAAGCTTTAATATTTGAGGTTATACATGGACAAGGTAATGACAGCCTAAATGAGAAATAACACACACATATCAAAGTTAGGTCAGCTCGGGGAGGTATTATGGTGTAGAGGGAAAGGTATGGATCTGGGTCTCAGTTATGGACTTGTAATTGTGTGGTCTTACTCAAGACACTTAACCCCATATCTGTAAAAGAAGGATGACGTCATTTCCTTGGTAGTGTTTGTGAGACTTACAGTCAACATATGTAATATATGTAGTGGGCACCGAGAAGGCATACATATCCTCCTGTGATGCCACTAGAACTTCAGATCTGGGAATTTGCCCCAGTCCTTATTCTAATTATCTGTGCTTCAAATATTATCATCAATAATCTTAAAAGAAAGGAATATACCACAGAATTCCAGTAAAACCTTCACTCTACTGTTCCCAAATCTATGTGATTTATGTTATGTAAGAAGTTCATGGCCTGAAATAATTTGTCCTCTTCTTCAAGAATGAAAATTATTCTACTTTTTGGTCTATCTTTTTCATTACTTTGAGGAGTCCAGTAGGTTCATTGATTTGCATATGCATTGTAATTGTCAGCTAGCAAATATCCGTTGCACGCGTGTAAAAAGAAGAAAAATCCCCCTCCAGATTTTTGACTTTCTAAATTAAAGGCAGGGCCCCCAGTGGAGTCTGAGAACTTAAGTTGTTCTCTGCAAGACACTTACTGCCCCAGCCACTGAAAAACTTCATCAGAGGTGAAAGAAGAAGCCCTCAGCAGAAGTTAGCCCCCTAACTTGAACTTGATTCGTAGTAGATGTTGGAAACCATTCACTTCATCATAGTTGTTTATCAACATAAACTGTTAAAAAGGTAAAGATTCTGAACACCATGTTTTTAGTTAATTAAAACATTTTGATGGGGCACCTGGGTGGCTCAGTCAGTTAAGCATCCAACTTCGGCTCAGGTTATGATCTCGTGGTTTGTGAGTTTGAGTCCTACATCAGGCTTTGTGCTGACAGCTCAGAGCCTAGGACCTGCTTTGGATTCTGTGTCCATCTCTCTGCCCCTCTCCCTCTCACACTCTATCTGTCTGTCTGTCTGTCTCTCTCTCAGAAATAAACATTTTTTAAAATTTTTTAAAAGCATTTCGAGAGCTAAATATTCATTTAGGAAAAGCAATACAGTTTAGTCTGTATTAATATGAGCTCAGAAGCCTGTTTGCCTGAGTTTAAACCTCAGCCTGTCTACTTACTTGCTGTGTGACTTACTCAAGTCATTACTTCTCTCTTGCCCTCAGTTTTCTCATCTCTAAAATGAATATAATGGCATAACTATCTCATAGGGTGGTTGAGAGGAATTAAGTGAATTCATCTATGTAAGCATTTGGAAGACAACTCGCTTATTGTAAACACTCTATAAAATGCTTACTTTTAATTATTTTAAACCTTTTAAATAAGGTTTTAATAAACATTTTAAAATAAGATCTACCCCTATATAATCAACATTTACCAAGGACATTGAGTCAGACATTCTTGCTTTGAATTAATTGAACATACTCCGAGTTTGTTTTAGGTCTCTTGTAGCATGTCTCCCTATTTCACTAGTAAACTTATACCTTTGTCTCTTTAAAGACACAATTATCTATTTCTTGGCTCTAGAACTATTTTTTTAAAAAGTCTTAATCCTGGGGCACCTGAGTGGCTGAGTTGGTTTCAGCTCAGGTCATGATCTTGCAGTTTGTGAGTTCAAGTGATGCTTTGGAAATCGGTGCTGACAGTGCAGAGCCTGCTTGGGATTCTCTCTCTCCCTCACTCTCTGCCCCTCCCCTGCTTCTGCTGGCACCCTCTGTCTCAAAATAAGTAAATAAACTTAAAGAAGAAGAAGAAGAAGCAGCCCTAGCTCTGAATTGGGACCCTGAGTTGGTTTTTTTATGTTTATTTTAGAGAGAAAGCACGTGAGAGGGAGTGGGGAGGGGCAGAGAATGGAGGACAGAGGATCTGAAGCAGGCTTTGGGTTGACAGCAGAGAGCCTGATGGGGGACTCAAATTCACTAACCCTGAAATCATGACCTGAGCCAAAGTCAGATGTTTAACCGACTGAACCACCCAGGCGCCCATCCACCCTGAGAGTTTATTCTTACGTGGTTCCATTTTGCTATGTCACTCAGGTTTCTCCCACCTTGATGTAATGCTTGTGGAATGCTATGACCCAAAAGGTGATCAGTGGAATATTCTGCAAACTCCCATTTTGGAAGGTCGAAGTGGCCCTGGTTGTGCAGTGTTGGATGACAGCATCTACCTTGTGGGTGGCTACAGCTGGAGTATGGTATGTGTCCACATTTACCTCATCCACTCCTTCTGGTTGTGCTTACTTTGTGTTTCCCTCTACACGTTATCACCTACATATAAACCTTTTTTTTTTTTTAACTTAAATTTTATTTCGTTAGCATACAGTGCAATATTGGTTTCAGGAGTAGAATTCAGTGATTGATCACTTACATACAACACCCAGTGCTCATCACAAGTGTCCTCCTTACTACCCGTCACCCATCTAGCCCATCCCCCACCCACTTCCCTCCATCAACCCTGTTTGTTCTCTAGTAAGACTTTTTTGAAGTATCTTTTCCTCTCTCCTCTTTCCACCGCCCCCATACATTCATCTGTTTTGTTTCTTAAATTCCACATATGAGTGAATCATATAGTATTTCTCTTTCTCTGATTGACTTATTTCGCTTAGCATAATGCATTCTAGCTCAATCCACATCATTGCAAATGGCAAGATTTCATTCTTTTTGATAACTAAGTAATATTCCATTGGGTACATATATGCCACATCTTTTTTATCTATTCATCAGTCAATGGACATTTGGGCTCTCTCCATACTTTGGTTATTGTTGATAATGTTGTTGTAAACAGTGCATGTACTTGTTCGAACCTGTATTTCTGTATCCTTTGGGTAAATACCTAATAGTGCAATAGTTGGATTATAGGGTAATTCTATTTTCAGTTTTTTGAGGAACCTCCTTACTGTTCTCTAGAGCAGCTGTACCAGTTTTCATTCCCACCAACAGTGCAAGAGAGTTCCCCTTTCTCCTCATCCTTGCCAACAGCTGTTGTTTATTTTAGCCATTCCAACAGGTGTGAGGTGATATCTCATCATGGTTTTAATTTTGAGTTCCCTGATGGTGAGTGATGTTGAGCATCTTTTCATGTGTCTGTTAGTCGTCTGAATGTCTTATTTGGATAAATAGCTTCTGCCCATTTCTTAACTATGTTTTTGATGTTGTATTTGGTAAGTTCTTTAGAGATTTCAGATACTGATTCTTTATCAGATATGTTGTTTGCAACATCTTCTCCCTTTCTGTAGTCTGCCTTTTAGATTTGTTGTTTCCTTCACTGTGCAGAAGTTTTTATCTTGATGATATCTGTATAGTTCATGTTTGTTTTTGTTTTCCTTGCCTTTGGCAATGTGTCTAATAAGAAATTGCTCTAGCCAAGATCAAAGAGGTTACTGCCTATGTTCTCCTCTAGGATTTTTATGGTTTCCTGTCTCACATTTAGGTCTTTCATCCAGTTTGAATTTGTTTTCACACATAAACCTTTTAGGAGTATCATGCTTGTATGCGAGTAGTACGTTACTTTAAGTAATAAAATAGAATTGGTGTGGTTGCTATTGAGCTGTCTTCCTATCTGATCAACTATGTCTCCAAATGCAGTAGTTCTATGCTTCTCTTTTCTCTCCATGCTTTTGGGATTCTGGCTTTCCAACGAAGGATACTGAAGTGGTTTTACAAATGTTCTGTTGCAATTGTTTGAACAGTTTGTTGGCTTGTTTGAATTGTCTGAAAAGTTTCTGACCAGTGAGGCGTGAACACTGGAAATTGTTAAATATCCACAAATTCCCTTGAGGATATATAATTTGCCATTGCTTTTCACTTTCCTCCATTTTTATCAGGAAAATTTCCAACAAAAATTGGGAGTACAATGGACTCTTGTTAACCCAGCATCCAGCTTCAACATCCACCAAAATTTTGGCATACTTCATCTATCCACCCTTAAAAATTTTTGGCTGAAGTATTTTGAAGCAACTTCTAGACATCATATTATTTCACCCTACATGCTTTAGTATTTATCTTTAAAAATTTTTTCACTTATGTAAACATACTATCATCTCACCCAACAAAATTAACCATAATTCCCTTATTTTCAAATTTTTCCTATTGACTTGTAAAAATATATATATATATTTCAAGTTGATATGTTCAAGTCAGAATCCAACACTACCCCTTGCATTTGGTTATTATATCTCATCCATCTCTTGCAATCTGGAAAATCACCCCACTCAACTTCTTCTTCCATGCCATTAACTTGTTGAAAAAAACAGGGTCAGTTATCAGAGAGAAAAGCTGACATTCTGGAATTAGCTAATGCCTACCTTGCAGCGTCATTTAAAATAGTCTTGGTCTCACTTGTGGGGATGAGCACTGAGTGTTATGTGGAAACTAATTTGACAATAAACTATTTGTAAAAAAAGATAAAATAAAATAAAATAAAATAAAATAAAATAAAATAAAATAAAATAAAATAAAATAGTCTTGGTCTCCATATTCCCTACAAAACTGGAGGTTAGACCTAAGGACTTAACACAAATTCAGCATTTTTCTTTTTTAAATTTATTTTGTTCCTTATTTCTTCTCTTCTGTCAAGAACACTTGAGGAGGTGATCGTGTAGTTCGAATTACATCACATTAAAAGACATGTAGGGCCTTGTGGTCTACACGTTCACTTTTTAAATGATGACTGTTGATTTATATGTGTTGGTTTCATAATATTAATTTGGGGTCTTAATAATATTAGTTTATTTCTTTTACATCAAATGTGGTTGTTGTATAAAGTTTGGGGGGAGTTTAAAAAGGTATTAGTTATACGGAGGCAAATATATGTTGAACTACCTATTCATACAGCAGCTTGTTCACTGGTGCACATTACTAGCTGTGAGAGTGGACACATTTAGAATCAGATACCAGGAGAGGACTTTCAAAAAATGGTGACCAGTCTGGTTGGGATTTTGGGGTTTCGCCTATGATAAAAACCAAACTGCTTTGGTTATAGAAGGGAAATGTCATAGAAAACAAAGTTAAAGACTTTTTTTTTAATTTCTCATGTGGCCACTTGGAAATAAATAAATCAATGTGCAAAGAAGGTGACAAGTCCTCTTGTCTGGTTTATTTTGAACTAGTTTTGAATCCTAGCTCTTAATCCCTACAGTACTAAAATAAAAATGGAAACGTGAGGCAACGATCTAAAACACAATTGACCAAAATTATTTGAAAATTTAAGATGACTGTTTTTAACTAAAATAAGCTGGATACATTCCAATTTGAGGTCAATTATTTTAAAGGATTTGCTGATCATCTAGGTGTTGTAGACACTTGACTTTTATTATTAATCACATACACACACACACACACACAGATTTTGAAATCTTGAGAATCTCAAACTGTCCTGTAAAATAAAACAGTTCCAAATCCACCGCTTTCATGTGGAACTTTCTAGCAAGAACAGAGAATTGACATTTTCTTTCCAATGTAAATGTGATAGGTAAAGTTGCCATTGCACTTCTCGAAATATTCTTCCCTAAACACACCCCTCTCTGCCATTACAGGGGGCTTACAAGTCATCCACAATATGCTATTGTCCGGAAAAAGGCACCTGGACAGAACTGGAAGGAGATGTAGCAGAGCCACTGGCAGGTCCCGCCTGTGCACCGGTTATCCTGCCCGCCTGTGTACCTTACAACAAATAACTCCAGGGAGCCCTGGAATGAACACTCTCGAATTCTAGGAAACAATGACAGGTGACATCACTGTTATACTAGGAACAGTGCATTCTAATGGTACAACTGCCGAAACCCACCCTTGGTTTCTAATGATTTACAAGTAATGACAAAAAGAAAAAGACCTGTTCTTGAACAGATACTGTGTCTGCGACTCGGATCACACCAAACTTCCTGTGGTGACAGACTCTTCCATTTGGGACTGGTTTTAACTTGTCCCAGCTTTACAAAAACTCCTCGTGTGGATCTTAACTTTCAAAAGGAGAAAGATAAAATACAGAAGAGTGCCCCAGAGAGACCTAAGATCAGTATTGTGCATTGTAGTCTACCTGCATGTGACCTATGTTGAAGTTTTGGGGATATTGTGTTCATGAATGATCCAGAATTTGACCCACTGAAATACTTACACTGCATTACAGAAATTGCCACTTGATTCTATATTTCTAACCTGTGGCTACTTCACAGACTCCATAGGCAACACAGTTATAGAAAATCATATAAGATTAAAGGGGAACATGTTTGTTTCTGTATAACTTCATTTCATGTACCATCTGCCCCTTACAGCACCTCATGGGAATCACAGAAGAGGAAGATGTTGGCTCCTTTAACAATTGCTTTCTGCCCTGTGGGTTCTAAGCTAGCCGGTCATAATTTGTGTCCTCAATTTTATATGAAAGATTAAAACAAAACCTACTCTGTCACTATTCCTTCCACAGAAGCTCATGTTTTCTCATTTTTTAACATATAAAAAAGTAGTGAACATACCTATTATTCAAAATGTAGGACTGACAGTTTTCGTACAATATTGAAGAGATTCTGTTAGATAACACATCTGACCCAAACTTAACCTATGATGAAACTGGGAGATTGCTTTCAGGAATTCAGGGATGAAAAGAAAGAATAATTTCTTTTAAGTGCGATCCCAGTTGTGTCTCTGTCCCTAAAACACATCACTTAAAAGAGCCTCAAGAGCGAATTATAGCTCTTAACAAATATTTCTCCCTCTTCCTCACCTTTGGCCCTAGAAATGGCTTTGGATTTGGCTCTAGGAAAGAACATGACTTACCCTGATTATTCTCCAACTCATCATATTTCTTTGTTATCACCAAAGATGCCTGAGATCAGTTAGTTGAACAATTGCTAGTTGTCTTTAGAAGCATGAGGAATTTAGGAGCAGAAGGTCAGGAGAGCATGAGATAGTTTTCAGTGTGACCAATCAAAAGAGCAAAACGGGAAGGAACGCAAATTTGATTTTCAAGCCCTTCAGAGCTGAAGCAACAACAGTTAAGACTAAATAATATCCTAAAATATTTTTTAATCACCCAGAGGTGTTGTTCAATCCCTCCACAAAGGTGTCATTCAAAACAACAACATGGGGAAGCCACAGATTAAAAAATGCCTTGGTGATAAGATTTCACCGTGGAGCATGTCGAGATAGATGGGTGTCCTGGAATCCAATGCCGTTTCTACAGTAAAGTGCAATCTTTGTTGTTTTTGTATTTATTTGTATGTTCAGATCCAAAGGATCCGTTGTAAAAAATATATATATAAATATATATATATATATACATATATATATATATCCAGTGCAATCAACTTTCATTTCTTTTTCCTTGAAAACATATGCCATATAGGAAAGAAAAGTTACAGTTCTTTGGAAAATCCTAGCTGACGTCACGAAGAGAACAAGGTCTGCTTCAGAACCTTTTATTGTCAACTGCCACCATTTCTTCTGAAAGTCACAGTTTATACAAGGATATTCACTTTCCTCAGATTTGTTCTTCATTTATTTTTTATTTCTAGCCAAAATAAATAAGAGCATTTATGAGAACTATAAGTAAAGCTTTTCTGTATTTCAGAAAGGCACAAACTATTAGAAGTGAAAAGTAAGTAAGTAAGTCACAGAGATTGTAAATTTTGTACAGTATTAGAATGTGTAAATGAGGCTTGCTTGGAAGGGGAAAACTTTAAATAAAAACTTTATGTACTAATTCAACTGTCTCATACTCCTACTTATAAGGCATATGTATAAATCTCTACACCGAACTGTTTAAAGGTTTACAATATATAAATGCCTAAATATTTTTATTCTGCTGATACACTTTATATGATCATTTAGCTTTCTGGAATATATAAATGTATATGGTATGGACAATGCAAAAAATTATAGATTGCTTCTGAAAAAATGTTGTGTTAAAAATTATGAGTAGAGGGGTTGGTTGGCTGGCTCAGTCAGTACAGCATGTGACTATTGATCTTGGCATTGTGAGTTCAAGCCCCATGTTGGGTGTAGAACTGACTTAAAAAACTTTTTTAAAATCATGATTAGAATCTGATTTATCCACTGCAAAAGTGGCATAAGTTACCTAAGATCTAATAACTAAATATGTAAAGTAATAGAAGCACCATAAGTATTAAAAAGTACTGGCACACCTTCTAAAGAATAAGTGAATCACATACTTAATTAGATCAGTTATCTAAATACATAGTATTTAATTGATGTTTATTTTTAAAAATCTGAAAAGGAAGTGCAGGGCAAGGAAAGAGGCTATGGGAGGCGGTAGGGGAAACTGAGGCATGTCATTGAAGGTAGGAGTTGGGCAACCTTCTAGGCAAAGAGATACGAAGTATTGGAAGCTATTTCCTGAAGCCTGCAAGCTAGAGGAAACTACTTTAATTTTTCCCAGGCAAATGCACCTTTATTGATGACTAAACTCACAACTAAGGATCATTTGATCCCTCCTAGTATTCCATGAAAGGAAGAGTAATGAGCTCTCTGTGTTCTACTGAATCTTCACCTCTCCACGCTTGCTGTCTATGGTAGCGTCTGTTACCATCTTCTCCTGAGACAAATGGCTAGTTGTTGTATGGCTTCTTCCAAATGCTCTGAATCCCCAAAAGCTCTAGTACTAAGCAAAATCATGGACAGTTAAGCAAAAACTTGTCTTTTTCCTAATCCCATGAAACCACCTACTTTAAGTCCATAATTAGACTGGCAAAAACTGGGAGAGTGAGCATAGGGACCAGGTTTTTTAGTTAGTTAAGCTGTGTCTGTAGACTAAAAATTTGTACCTGCATTTGTTCTCTCCAGTTAGGGCCAAATTTATATTTTCCCACCTGCATGACACTTACATCACCTAACAAATTGTCATCATTCTCGACATTGAAGGATCAAGTATTTATTGAACATATCCCAAAAGGCATCATTATAAATGCCAGAGTTCTTACTAAACTTAGTTCTCTAGGTCAAAGCATTTTTTAAATGATATAGAAAATGAGCTAACATACGGTTGGTAAAGCATCCCAAAGCCAATTAATACACACTGGCAGGTATCTTGATAGACTGAGTTCCCAATAGATGAGGTAGCAGGAAGATCATGACTGATCAAGCCTGACTTCTTAGAAGCACCTGACCTAGAGGATGTTGAAGCTGTGATAGAAGATAAAATGGCAATAAGAAGCAGAAGAAAGGTCAGTATAAAAAAAATATCTAAATAGTATGTTTGCTTTGTGTAGCTGAAGCTGTATAGTGCTGCCCTGGCTAGTACAATAAACATGGGCCAAGTAGTGGATGCAGTTTCTTGATGGAGGTATTCTACATTTGTTGAGTTTACAGTCTTGGTGCAATAACAAAAGGTTCGGTTCTAGATGCATACGAACAATGTGCTTCAAGAATGCAACACAATGGTATGAGAATCAGACAAAAGTGTTCCAGCTCCTAGGAGGCTGAGTTGGTTGTTAAGTATCCAACTCTGGATTTAGGCTCAGGTCATGATCTCACAGTGATGAGATAGAGCCCCAAACCGGGCTCTGAACTGAGCATGGAGCCTGCTTGGGATTTTCTCTCTCTTTCTCTCTCTGCCCACCCCTGCTCATGCTTTCTCTCTCTCTCTCAAAATAAATAAACTTTTTTTTAAAAAAAAGACAAAAGTCTTCTACAAATTGAGTGGCTTATTTTATTCTAAGTTATTGCCTGGCATATATTAAGGACTCAGTAAATATTGATTCTTAATATTAGCAGGAGTAATATTACCTTAGTATTTTTAGCTCACTAATGATGCTAAAAACAAGATGACTGGAGGGTGTTAACATGTAGACAGTAAAACTGTCTGCTCCTCAGTTTAAGAAGAATTATATAACTTTAGGTAAAGTGATCCTTGATTCTAACTTCCCCTTCTGTTTTTTACTTTTATTTATTAGGCTAACTCTTCCTCCTTGAAGAGTCCCCTCTTCAAATCCAAATCCCCTATGTACAAAAAATGACACACAGGGTTAAGCAGGTGGGGGGTAGGGACAAGAGGGAGAGGTAAACATTTGCTGCAGGACAAAGTCACCCTACATTTAGAGAGACGGCTGGCTTCTGGCTTCCAATCAAGTCACTCAAATCTGAGACATTTGGGAACTGATTGAATTAAATTAGGAAAAAGGAGTAAAAGAGATAGGATTTAATTATTCATTCAAAGTTATTATGTCAACAACATTTTAACAACATAACCCTTCCACTAACTTAATGCTTATTAGGAATCAGGTATTATGCTGGTATTTTATACATATTTTTCTCCTTTATTCTTCTGAGCTGTTGTTCTATGAGGTAAATATTACCCATATATTAAAGGTAAGGACACTTATGCTCAGAAAGGGTAAACTATTTGATAAGGTTAGACAACGGATTGGTAGTGGAGGATTCAAACCAAAAGCTTTAAAAGAGTCATCGTCTGGTATGCGTGGGTGGCTTAGTCAGTTAAGCCTCCCAGTCTTGATCTCAGAGCTCAGGTCTTGATCTCAGGGTTCATGAGTTCAAGCCCCACGTTGATGGACGTGGAGCCTACTTAAAATTAATTAATTAATTGATTAATTAGAATAGAATAGAATAGTCATTCTGAACCACCATTTTCTCCTACCAACAAAGAAACTTCTTAAGTCAACCATTTGAAGTCGTGTAGAAACTCCAGGGATAGGTCTACATTTGCCATATATGAAGGGGATATGCTAGAGGGGAAAGGGAACAATTAATGGTGATGCATCATGACAAATGCTATATTGCTGGTATAAATTAACTATAGGGAAGTGCAAGAGTGGGCAAAAAGAACTTGCTGTGTGACCTTGGGAGGTCATTTAGCTTCTTCAGCTTCAGCTTTGTCATCTGTATTTGGAGTGATACAATCTCTTCTTCAAAGCATTATCGTGAAAATCATAGGTAAAGAATGTGAAAATTCTTTGCATCTAGTAAATTCCAAAGTAAGATACGCAGATCAACTATCAGGATGCAATGACAAAATCCAACTTTTCAATTTGGTTTGCATGATACCTTAAATCTGGCCTCAGCCTCACATTCAGGTCACATTTTTCTTTACTACCATGTCTATTAAGCAATGTGAATCCTTGCTTTTCCACAAACACAGCTATGCTTTTCCATCTTTGCCCTTTCGCTTGTGCATTTTCTCCACAGAGAATGCCATTTCATGCTCAACACTATCTATTAAAATCATGTCCTTCAAGGTCCCGTTCAACCTCCACTGCTTTCATTAAGCCTTCATGATCACAACAGTCTTGTGTGATATTTTTCATCTGACTTACTATGGCTTTCTTACTTTATCTCTACTATACTATTTGTGAGGTTTTTATGTCTTACCCTTTTACTAGATTCAGGGTTCCTTGAGGGTAGAGATAATATCCAATGTGCCTTTGAAAAAACATAATGCCATA